TTCTTTACCTCATAAGATGTGTGACTGCTGCCAGAGGACCCTTAGGCTTAGCTGAATAAGGCTTCTTAAACAAAGCTTTAATTTTGCCTCAAAGACAGCTGAATTTCTTGGGTGGTGGTCTCACTGGCCTCACTTCTCCCCTGCCCCCACAGGGAAACACTGTTAAGATAGAACAGAACCATCTGGAGTAAACCTTGAATCATCTTAAAGAATTCGGAACCTCCTTGCATTTGGAAGCAATTTACAGGTAGTGTCAGCAATCCATTTTTTGTGCCCTTGAAAGACACAACCTCAGTGCAGGCAGGTCAAAGTTCAACACTTGTATTTTCAGTGGCTCATAATTAAGTCACCCTTCATTATTTTTGCCTGATCTCTTTTCTGCAGCTAATATTACCACCAGTAGAACAGAAGAGTGAGGACTGCTTTGCCCTTTGAACATAGATTGTATTTCAGAAAGTCTCAACCGAAGCATATGTGTGCAGCAGGAGAGTAAGGAAAGCACAGCATGAGGTATTTCTGGTGGCCTCTGATATCTTGGCAGAGTGCTAGACAAAATCACCTGCTACAGCACTGCAGGGGCACGTCCAGGAAGGAGCAGAGGAATCAGAAGGGGTGTTGTGGATGTGACTCAGCGTTGCTTTTCCTTGATCAAGCGCATACATGATGTGTGTGTGATGTCTGAACATGTGCTCTGCGTGCAAATAGTCTCAAAAAATGAGATTTTTTTTTTTTCCTGGGTGTCAGTTGCATCTGCATGGAAATAGTTACACAAGGCTGAAGTTTGTATTGTTAATTTGGGGTAGCGATGGCATCTTGCAGCAGTATCTTTGGCTCAGGTTTACTTTTAACTCCAGCTCTTCCTTCCCTTGAGGAAGGAGTATCTACCTGAACTCAGCTTGTCGTTTCCCCTGGTAGTTCCTTTAAGGACTTCTTGTTCTATTTAAATGCTAAGGGTTATTTCCCCATACAAGATCTGTTTTCCTGTTGTTCTCTATTGGCTAACTTAGATGCATTTTTAGTTACCGGAGTAGAAGCCTAACACTGCAGGAAACAGAAAATGTTTGCCTGCATCAAGTTTCAAATTATAGGTGGTTCTTGCTTTTCACCATGCAAACAGACCCCTGAATAATTTTGCAGTATGCTGCTGAGAACTGTGGCAAACCATTTAGTAGTAAATCAGCCTTTCTTACAGCAGAGTCTCTATGCTTTGTCAGCCATTGCATCCAGGTATTAAAGTCTAATAGAAAAATAAATTAAACCATGGAAAAGTTATGGCTGATCTCCTTGAAGAAGATGCACTGTTTTGATTACAGGAAAAACATCTGGGGTTTTTTTGGATGGCATCCAGGACTTTAAGCTGTGAGCTGTAATAGAGAACATGCAAAATATCTGCCTCTTTGCTGCATCTTCAGTATTTGGTGTATAAATAACACATATAATAATAGAATATACTTAGAATAAAAGACAGTTTGCCTTCCAATTCTTGACTTTTAGGGAAGTTTGGATCCTGGAAGCACCTGCTGTATGTGAGATCTTAAATATTGGAACCATTCTATTTGCTTCTGATCTTGGCTTCTCGGGTGAAATAAGGTCTGTTTCTTAGCTTATCCTCAGCAAGGTAATTTTAAGGCACACATGGGAAATAGCAGGATATATAAAACCCCTGGAAAACCAAAACAGGGAAACTAACAGCAGGTTGTGTCAGAAGCAGGAAGAACTCTGAAGTACGAGCTCCACTATCTAAGTTTTTCTGTGTTGTTTCAATTAGGATCAGGTGTTTTGAGAAATCCTATATTTTGAAACACTGTTGGACGCAAAGTACTGAAAATGATGGCTGCTGGTAGCCCACCTCCACCAGGGGCATGGAATCTGAGCTGCCCAACAAGCTGATGCCATGTGAGCAACAGTTGTCAATGTTGTTCTCTTTTTCATAATTGTCAAGTGAGCTTTTCAAGTTTGGTGCCTGGCTTGATATTACATCCATAACTGTGGTAGATCAACTTTGACAAGTCCCTCTCAGGGTTGTGTTTCTTAATGCCTGTCACCATCATGGCATGGCAACGTGGTCCTGCCTGTGCTGGTGACTTTCTTTCAAGGATGGCTGCCAGGTTTTTATTCCTTACCAGATAGCACATGTGTGTTTTGAGCCTTATCACAAGTGAAGAATCTTGTTTGTAGTCTGGGTGGCTCAGACTCTGCTAGTACTGAAGCCATGACAGCACAAATCCAGCTCATACCACAAAGCTGTGCACTGGCTTCATGTATAGCTGGGCTTTTCATGGGCAGCATGGGTAGAAAACACTCAAGTCAGAAGCTTGAATCTGTTGCTGTGCTGCACAGATTCTGGATACCAGAACATTGTTTGTGCCAGTTGTTTGATACAGATTCTTCACTTTTTTGATTAAAGTCTTTGTAAAGAGCTTTGTGTGGCTTTCTTTGGATGCTCACTGTCTTCATATGGAGGCAAGTGTTTGATTTGAAAAACTGAAAACTGCATGTTTAGATACAAGTGCTACTTAAATCTGAGGTGCGTGCAAGATATTTAATTCTAAACTTTGGTTTGGTCTATTTCTACTGCAATAAAACAAACACCCAAACGAATCATGGCAAGCTGGAGTTATTAGTTCACAAAATGGACTTGGGAATGTTGACAAATGTGTTTGCAACGTCCCAGCACGATTGTCATGTTTCTCTATTTGCAGGGTTTCTATACTGCAGCCTCACCTAATCCAAAGCACAGCATGACTCCTTCTTTAGGACTAGTCTCTTCTATCATATCTCTCTCTTCTTAAATCCCTTCAACCAGCTTTTACTAAAGTAGCATGTAGGTTTTATTACTGAAAGTTTTATAATGGTGGCCTTGCTTATCTTCCCTACCTTCTGTCACTGACATAGTTGGATCAACAATTGTCTGCTACTGGTCCAGAAATATAGTTTGAGCCATTGTGGACTTTATGCTCTCTGTAACTTCTCTGTGTAACCTTAACGATTTCAGGAGAAGCTTAATAAAATAAAACAACAATAGAGCCTACAAAAGCAACCAAACAAAACCCACAACCAGTCAAACAAGTCATGGAAACAATCCCAATACCACAAGTTTAAAAGACATTTTAAAGATATTGCATGTGGTTCGTGGTATTCTTCTCCATTAGCTAGGTAAATTGGAGGTAGTAATTATGCTTTATTTCAGCTGCAGAATTCAACAAAGCTAGTCTGCATTGCAATAGGTAGTTTTAGCATTTCTGTGGTGGTTTAGTGAACTTCTCAGATCACTACGCACTGTTAAGCTTGTATATGTAATTAATTTGAGCTGCTCAGACAGAAGTAAGTTAGGGAGCAGGTGCTACATCTGTGTTAGCAGGATCCTGGACCAAGGTCGTAAGCCCAAAACCCTTCTGCATGTTTGACATCAGTGTGCCACGTCCCACCTGGTGATTCCTCTGCATCTTTCACTGAACAACTGAACGGTGCCCTCCTGATACCTTTTCCTTTTGTGCCACTGATGACATCACAGCTTTTAGTTCTTCAGTCTTTCCCAGCTCTCATCAACAGTCTCTCGAGTTTCCAGTCTGATGCTGTCCATGCTGTTTGCTTTGGCCAAAGATGAAATGCTATGTCACGTTACAGGTAGTTGGTCTCCAGTGTGGATTGGGTCTCTACATTCTTTATTGTGTTTCGTCTTCTCAAACTTCTTGTAGTGTGTATTTTTCCATTTGGTATGAATGATTCATAGTTCCTGTATGGTCCTTTCTAGCTTCGTAATCTTTTCTGCTAACTTCTACACGTTGTCATGCATGACAAAGTAAGCATTAGGAGCTGGGTAACATGCAGTCTGCTCACTCTCCAGAGAAAGAAACAATTCAAAACTTCTCAATGTGCAAGAAGGCCAAACATGCAGCATGTGAACTTGTTAAACACATTTATTTAGTTCTTGACAGTAACCAAACACAGTGAATGACCATTATAAACAAGAAAAAAGGCATTCCCTTTTACTTGGTCAGCTCCTGCTTCATCTGTAAAGAAAAATATCTGCTTCCACCACCAATTTAAATTTGTTTGTCACTATAATGAATTGAACAGGGAAAATGACAATTTGAAACGGAGATGTTTCAACTGTGATCTGTTTCTGAACCCAGCCTTCTGTTAATGATTGACCAGAGTTGAAGTTATACTGGATTTAACTGCATTCACAATTGCCATTATCTGGCTTAAATTGGCTGCAAACAAATAAATGAAATTAAAAAAAAAAAAAAAAAGAGAAAGTCAACAGAAACACAAACAGTGCAGCCACAAATACTTAGAGGCTTGTTATTTCAGAAAGGAAAAAAGTAAACCAAAGCAAGTTTACTAAATTAATTTGTTAAACACATTTATTGAGTTGTTATTAGTAACCAACACAACGTATGACCTGTTGTAAAACAAGAAACAGAAAATGGATCAATTCTGATTTTGGCAAATCCTACTACAGATATGTGACAGAGGGAAATATTTAAATTTCCTTTGTATTCTGCAGTGATCTATTTACAATACTTATCTCTGTCTGTCCCTTTTTTAATTAAATGAACAGAAGGATCATAATCTAGAAATAAGTTTGCTCTACAATCTTCTTGTTCTGTCTTGTCAGTATCCTTAAATGATAGTGAAATAATGAGAGCTTTCCAAGGATTACTTGGCACACAGAACACAACTCCACTTTGATGCTGCACCAAGCCACCTTTTTTCTCTTTTTTCTTTAAGTTTGACGGAGGGGGGGGGGGGGGACGAGGAAAAATTTCATATATACAAAGGCGGAAAAGTCTTTTTTTCTTTTTTTTTTTTTTTTTTTTTTTTTGTGTGTGTGTGATGCTAAATTAGTTCAGGAAAACTGTATCAAAATTGTAATCACATTTACTGTAATACTGTCTTTTTATTTTTTTTTAATTACCACCAATCATATGAATGAATTTTAAGTTGAGTTTCCAACATGGCAGCTTTATTCCTACAGCATGCTTGCACATGCTGTCACGAACCCAAAGAAAGTGAGTTTGGGTGCATTCTAGATTATGTCAATCACAGTAGTAGCATTCCACTGAGGTTATGGGTTCTGCCTGCTCTGTCTTACTTGAGGAGCCATTCATTTACTGAAAAAGAAACAAAACAAAAACAATTATGCTTTAATAAACCTCAGAAATGAAATTGGATGAACTTAAAACATCTTTTAACACCTATAACATCCTGGAAAAGCCAGGCTCAGTTTTCTCCTTTTCTTGGGAAAGTACTGCGTCTGTATGATTATTTTTTTAGCGGTATTGTAACTCAATCATTGACCGTGCTGTTGAATGTGTTCTTATCCACCCTTCAGCATAACCATAATATTTAGTCAAGAAGGAACTTTGACACTGTCTTGTAAGTGGTATAACTGTATGTACACGGACTAGAAGGTGTGTAAGATGCAATCCAGCTCAGAAGTGAGCCCCGAGCTGTGGCAGTGTAAGATGTTACCAGCATGAGACTGGGTTGGTTCATTTGTTTGGTGTTCATTCCCTAATAAAAAAACTTTCCAATTTGGATATTAGTTATGGCAGTGCACCTCCAAAGTGAAATTTATTCTTTTGTTTGAGATCAGCTGTCATCAGGACTAGCTCATCCCCCTTTTTCTTTCCAGCAGAATAAAATATCTTTCTAAGACTTTAAAATGAGGCTAGAAAGCTGAAGGCCTGTGCCATCTGCTTATGAAAAATATCAGATGTCCCACAATGACTTTTATCATGGCTTTTCATGGATGTTTCTGGGCAAATTTCCTCTTCCAGTCAAATATGCAATCTTGGACTCATACTACTATTCCCCCAGGTCTGCTGTTTCATTTGTGTTTATTTGTAGACTTTCTTATGTGCTTGAATTTCCCAGAGAAAGGAGCTCAGTGTAAGTAAAGCAAGGGTTGTTCTGGAGGTAGAACGTACCTCTATACTGTAGTTTCTGTGCTCTATTGTTTGGACAATCTTTTCCCTGTAAACTAAAGTTGATATTAGTTCGGATACATCGATTGTTGAGGGGCTGGACTGGTCTGAAATTGTCGCTCATGCTCAGAAAAATCTGTGATGGCTGATTCTGGCTTAGCAGTCGTAAGGAATGCATCTGTACAAAATACAAAACAAGGATTTTTAGTTTTGGTCTTTCTTGTAATTAAAGAACATACAACACTATTAAATATACTACTTAGGAAATCAAAGTTAAACAGTTTCAGTGATTTGTAAGCGAAAGGTGGGTTGAAAGAGCCAACTTGAGATCAAACTGTTTCTTCTGCAGTCAGACGGCAATGGTTCTTGCAGTTACTGTGCTACAAGAATATTCATTAATTCAACAAAAATCTTTCGAACTTTGAGTAGGAAACTGAAGTAGAGGTTAAACTTCCTCAGTTATTTTTGTACAACTTTACTGTATTTGTTTAGAATCCGTATGCATTTATTCCCAGAATCGTGAAGTATCTTACCAGGAGAGACCTTTGGATCATTTGGTTCAAACTCTCACGGTGAGCGGAGCCCATCTCAGAGTGTGTGTATGTGCAACTATTTTGGTAGTTCTAAATAAATAAATCAATTTTGAAAAAAATGCTCTTCATTGCTTTTGTAAGCTGTAGCAATTGCAAGCAGAGATCCATGCAGCAAAACATTGAATCTAGTTTTGTATGTAAAACTAGCAATGTATTTCAAATATTCTACTCTTGTACCTAGACTAGATCAAGTATTTGTATATTTATTATTATTATTACCTGCATTCTTGTTATGTAGACGGGTTTGTTCATTATTATCCAGCTTGCTGTTTCGTAGCAGGGTGGAATTGTCATTGACCCATCATATGTAATGAAACTAGAGGTCTCTGGGTAAAGCTCCTCAATGTTAAGCCCCTGTAGTAAGTATGCATCATCTGCAGAATTAAGAGAAGAAAAAAAAATAAAGCCATGTTTTTGAGGGGGAAAAAAACAGCGTTTGCAATCCTTACTTCAGAACATCAACTCTAGCTTACTGATACGGGAAGTGCAACGACCATGTCACAGCACTTAGGTTAAGAAGAAGTAATCTTGGTTTGGCTTTTTCTCCTTGGTGACAGTGCGCACCTTCCCTGGGAATTCAGCTCAAGTATTCACTGTGAAACTCTGAACCTCATTTAAGAAGCGGATAAAAACTTCTTGAGGTTATTGATTCAAGTGCAGCAGTCTTTGGAGAAAACTTACCATATTTTGGAGAGATTAACAATTTTGGCCTTCCTAAGGACTTGTGTTGAACAGTGAGTGTTAAAACTTAATTGCCCTTCTGCCAGAGGAAGAAGTTGAAGTTGAGGTTAATGCATGATAATAAACCTGCTCGCTGAAGCCTGATGGCCTTTCATGTGTGCAGTGGGGGCGGATGTGCTGCTAGCTCACTGTGAGTGCTAACGCCAGGGTGGGAAAGTGTGCTGGAAAGCAGCTTACTGTGGGCCTTGCTTTGATATCATGAGCCTCTCTGGGAATTAATGAAGTACCCGTGTGTAACAGAATTCAGTCCGTGAACAGCTACCAAAATAAAATGAGGTAGGGACAGATCTCATGTCATCAAAATTCCTCAGCCTGTTTTATTATCTGTACATTTCCCTTTTGTCATGCTGGACCTCTAATATTTTTGCAGTACTGTCAAAGCCAGAGCCGAGGCAACAGGAGTTCCTTCATAGGAAATACGCAGGGATTGCATTTAACTGTTGATAGATTTGTGCTCAGAGAAAGCTGTGCTGGTTGCAGGGAGCAATGCTGTGAAATCTCTGTGCATGTCTTCACTTGTGTGTGGTGTTCAGTATGGTTCATTTGCAGAGTGAGTAAAATGTGGGCAAGGAAAGCTGCATATTTAGGCAGTTCCCTTTTCAATACACAGAGTAATTTGCATTGATTTGAATTGAATACAAGGATGTAAAAATAAAGTAGAAGATTCCTGTTCAGTCTAAAGAAACATGTAGAAAGTACATCTTTTCAGTCAATACCAATTGTTTAGGCGTTCTTGCTTGATTCTCTGATGTTTTCTACGTTTTAAATGTAAACTGTTTTTATTGTTAAAAAAAGCTGATAATTTCTTGGCCATTGGGAAAAGAAGTTTTTAAATGAAAGCATAGAAAGAAATATGAATGATTAAGAAAGCATGTAAGATCTAAAAAACAGGAGTAATTTAACTACAGTTTAACATATAGCTGAAGGACAAAACTTAGGCGATTAGAATGTTTGCCCCATATTATCTAATGGGAAAAAAAGAGAACTACTGTACTGGCAACAGAAAGATCGAAGTACCCAGGCAAAGCAAATGTGATTTGTTTTATTTGTATTTTGACATATGTGCTCACCATGCTGCTCCCAGGGTGCAAGTGACTACAGCATCGGCTAAAGGCCAAGACGAGGGTGTCAGATCTGCGTCCTGTTGGCCAGTACCTTACAGGTGTTTGGTATTACAAATGTATTTGTTATTTGAGGAATAAAAATCTTGGCACGTCCTTTGATAGTTGTTACCAACGCAGCTCTCTGCCACCTTCTTGTCTTCCCAGGAAAACTGCTTTTCCAAGTAGCTGGAGCTTCAGAGGAGACTGTGCTTCTCAGTGTTTTAGGTGACTGTTATCTTTGTAAAAATGCTTAGCCTTCACTGCCTCATGGCCTGGGATCTACAAGCTGTTTTTTAGCCCCCCAGTTTTCCACTTGAAAGTGCAAAACCATTGCTATGGTATTATGAAGCCAAAATGCTGTTGAATTTTAACAGCTAGAGATGACTGAATGCACCTGTGTCCTGTTCATTATAAACATTATTTGCAGTGCAGCAGTAATTTTGCTAGAATTACATGAGAAGAGAGTGAATCCATTTTTTCAAGCCAGTGCCTGCTTTCCGTGAATCATCACACTTCTTTCCCATTCCCACGTGAACCTCCTGTTCATTTACGAACCGTGGAGGGTGGTATATGTTGGCTGCGAGTGCCAAGAAGTCCATCCAAATTGATAGTTTCAAGCCCTAAGGACCAAATCCGCTTTGTTACATTCACATTGCCTTCAGTGGGACTAAAATGGTTTTAACAGGGTTGAATTTGCCCTGAATTATTTTTTAGGAGATGGAAAGCTAACTTAAGTTTAATGCAGAGAAGGGATACTGATGATGTGTATTTTTTGTGCATGCCACACTCCAGTTGGCTAATTTGTGTTCAGAAAAGCGCACAGATTATTAGCGATAGGGTTATTTATAATAGATACAGAAACTGATTTATTGCTGGCATTAATGCAGGTAATCGTGGGGATTTTGGAGTTGCCTTGCATGGCGTTAATAGAGAATGTGTTATTTTGATGTGAGCTGCTAACTTGCCTATGGATATGCTGTACTGTGGCTTCTAGCAGTGTGGGTGCAATGTGGGGCATGGAATTCCCAGTCATCCAGGCAAGTCCAATGTGTGCTGTTGCTCTGAAAGTCAGGGGATGTGTTGCTTGTAGCCTTACTGAATTCTGCTTCAACTGCTAGGTTGCCTTGTTTACATACTGAGGATCTGCAAAATATGCAGTGCTCTTTGTGTAGCCATCTTCCTCATCAGCATCCAGCAATGGAGTTGCTTCAAATTTGATTCGTTGCTTCTGTGTTCGCTTGGAGTGTGTTTAAGGAGAGTTGGTGGACTGTGTGTCAAAATCCATCAGTAGTAATTAAAGAGAAACTAGAGGAGAAAATATCACTTCAGGAAACAAGGAAGATGGGTATGAATGAAATAAGTGTTTGGCCAAGAAAAAGCACTATTAATTCATCCTGTGTGTGGGCTTTTCCACTATTCCTGTGGAAGTCAGACAGCTCAGTGGGAATGCCTTGAGGAGACCTCAGAGTAGGCATTTGGTTATCATTTTTCCCATGAACAGCTCTGTTCTTTCCCTCTTCCCACATCTTGATTTAAAATAAATAATCTGTACTGGAACTGAAAAAGAACTGGGTGTGGGGGTTGCATTAATACTAGGCTGCACTTAGATGTGTTGTCTCTTTTGATGATATTTATTGCAGGCGTGTGATCAAAATGGTTGAAAACAGTGTGATCTCTTGCCAGTAATAAACTTCTTTGGTAGACCTGTGCAGCCTTTATTAGATTCTCAGCATCATTCCTCTCCACAGCTCACACTGTTTTTCTTGTTCTGTGTGTGCCTTGGGGTGATTTCTGAACTCGTGAACTCCTGTCTATACAAATTACATTTATTTAGATTTCAAATTCATTTACATGTAGGCCTCTGACAATTTTCTTAACTAATAATGGAAGCGCTCTTTCATCCTTAGATTTGTAACAGGTGTGTGAGGTCTGCTTTCACAGTAAAAATGTGTTCTTTTCAAGGAAATAGTACTTAATTGGGAATACATCAACTGAATTTTAAAAAGCCCTATTTGATTTCCAAGTTTGCATCATGGTAACTCAAAAAGGGACAGTACAGCTCTAAATAGAATACAGGGCATAGAATGTTGAGCTCTGCAGTTATTAAATTCAGCACTGGAGTTTCTCTGTTTATCAGCCTTCAGGAGCTGCTCAGATGCAGCTGGGAGCAGCGGTGACTCACGCAGAGAACCCGCTCAGTCCCCAGGGCCTCGTGGTGGCCGAGCTGTTGTGCTCGTGGCAGGAGCTGCAGGAGCTCAGTTCTTCAGGCAGCCCACTGAAATGTGCCCCTTTGAAAATTAGGAGCCTTATCTCCAGAGATACGAAATGTAAAACTTCAGAATCATCTGTGAAAACTGATACTCTATTCACTTGTTATCTCTATTATAGTGAAAGATTAAATGTGAGAAAATGCAAAATTTTGCAGCTCTTCTGCCTAGCTGAGCATACTTGGGTGTTTCTGTGGAGAATGACAAGCCCAAATTTCAGTATGGAGTTTAGGGAAGCTGAAATGTTGCTGCTTTTCAATGATAAGCAACCACTGGGCATGGCTGTTCTGAAAGAAATCCCCCTAGAATCGTACTTAAAGAAAAACTGCTTTCATGTTCCATTTTAGAGATTCACACAGATTCTGAATAAAGAATCCTTGTTTCAACTAGTTCAAAGAGTATTCTTTGTGCTTTCTTAATACTTAATACTTAAAAAGTACTTAAAATCTACTTAAAAGTAGATTGGGGTCCACTTCACTTTACTTAACCACTAATATCTGAGGGTAGAAATTCCCCTTTTCACGCATGTTGCCTGTGGACATTTCATGCAGCGTGATATACAACTCCTTCATTTTTTTGCTATTCTTCTTCAGAAAAAAAAAAAAAATCACTCCTGTAGGTATGCTGTTAGCTCTGCTGACTCTGAGCCTGTTCTCGTTTGCTCCATCCCCCTATTGGGCACAGTGGGAGCACGCTGAGTATTGCCTTCAGGAGTGGGCTTGTAAAACACAGCTTAAAAACCTCCAGTTGCTGAAGGCAGAATAGAAATCCCTGCAATGTAAGAAGTAAAACTAGTTTTCAGCAATGATGCTATAATCTATCATGTAAGACAACCACACAATTACTTTCAGTAGCACTCTCACACTCCCAGTTTACACTAAAAAATTTCTGGTCGATACTTGTTACTACAGCAAGCAACCCATTGCACTGAGAATGCTGTGTCCATCGTGTCCACCAAGGATTTCATTTTAGCAGATGCACCTGTTAGGGATAACAGTGGCTAAAAACTAAAACTATTCCAGTACTCATTGATTTTGCAATCTGTTATGCATTCACCTCAATGTGAAATTTCATTTGGAAAATCTAAATGAAGTGTGATTGGAATTGTGTTCTCTCTTCGAGTGCCAAAACAACCATTGAAAGGTCCAGAGTGAAGGTGCACCTGCTTACAAATGCAGTGCCAAAGGAAAATGCTCTGCAATGGAGGTGATGGCTGTACACTCATTTACGCAACAAGGGAAAGGTGCTGCTGGTTCCTTTCAGCCCTGTGGAGCATCACATCCATAACTGTGGTCTCTCCTCTGCTCTGAATCTCTGCAGTTTGCCCAGCCTTTGCTCTACTGGTCAGCTATTAAAGCTTGTGTGGCCAAGGAACACAAGAAAAGCTGTGATGCTTGTGTAAATGCATGGGACAGAGATGCTGTAATGGGAAAAACTAGGCAGGAGCCTTCCCTTGCTCAGACTGTGAGATCTGCTAGGTGTGTGTGTATGTGGGGAGAAAAGAGCTTTCTTAGTGCTCCACTGTCAGGTGTGTGTTTATAGTAAAGGACATGGAACTGCTGAGTTTGGAATGCAGTTGGAATGGCTCTGTTGTTCAAATTCTCTGTTGTATAGGCAAGACTCAATCTTTCTGCTTCTCTCTTGTTCAAGAATTAGTGGGTAAAATTCCGTGTTTGCAACTCACGTAGGTCTCAAATGTATTATTTTTTCTTGATGTGAACACTGTAGGATTGTAGTTCTACCTGCTGGGAGGGGAAAAGGTAGAGTGCAAAGAAATCAGGCTGTGAACTTCAGGGATGTGTACAGAAATCTCTCCAAACACTTCCATTGCAAACCTGAAGTTCAGTGACTTGTTGGAGTTAAATGGATTTTTGAGTTCTCTAGAGATGCAGACGGGAAGCTTTCAGAGCATCATGTGTTGTTGGAGGGTATATAGTTTGATGCACTTCATTTACAAAGATGTAAACTGGGCAAAGTCTGACAGAGCTGAGAACTAAGCTCTGCAGTCCTGACACCCAGTCTCATTCCAGTTACAAACAACTCTATATCTCTTCCTAGATGCTGGTCTATGATATTTTCATAATCTGGTATCATTTAGTGTACTTACTTTATGGCTGCTTGGCAATCAAGTGATTATTTGACAAAGGAATAATGTTTTCAGCATAGAGGTTTAATTTATTCCATTGAGGTCTGTATATTTTTCATGTCTTTCTCTGAATTACCCTGATTTTAACTGATGCTTAAGCTCCAGTTTTCCACTTACTTAATATGCTAGCATGGAAGTATTGAGCATTATCAGTTAAAGGCTTTCCAAACACGAGTGCAACAAATATACATGCTATGTTGATGATCTCCTTATATACCCATTACATGCAGTAATAGCCAAATAGAAACCGCATTCTTCTGTGCAAAAAGAAAGCGTTAATGAATACTGAATCCACAGCTGCGTGTTAAAACAGGCAACGGTGCAGCATTTTGTTGTAATTTGAATTGGAGTAATTCAGGCTGCAATATATGGTACTTCTGCTGCTAACAATAAGCAGTTTTACCTGTGTGTTCTGTGCAAATTTATCACATATATTTATTAAATATATTTTCATCAATTTACTGTTTGTCCAAACATAAAATAGGTTTTGAAGCTCAAAAATATTTAATGAACTTGTGACCTTATTAGATGTTTTCAAGTTCCCAAGTTTATCGTGCAGGTTTGCTGGCAATACAAGCCTGTAAACTGTTTCTCAATGCAAGGCATCTCTCGATGCAGTGAGTCACTAAGCACAGCTTTTGCTACTAGCAGCATACAGCTATCGTGAATGAGAAGAAACTTACTTTTATACGTTATTCTTGTTATAGTGTCTCTGTTAAGCATACGATTTAGAAATGGATTTGATGATTCAGATACCTAAAGAAGAGAAAATTACAGTGTCAAAACTTTCGGACAAGCATTCCCTTTCTGGAGCTGCACCTGTGTTGTGCCCATTCCCTCCATCCCAGGGCCTCGACTTACTGGGAGAGGTTCATTTCTAATTGACTCATTCATCTCATGTTTCATACAAGAATACCAAATCAAAGAAATCAATAACTTTTGTCATAGCCACTAAACTTTTATGAGTGGTTTTTATGATATCATTAATTTTCTCTCTTTATCCCTTTTCATTTTTTTCCATTATGTTTTCAGGAACTGTACGTTCAGTTCCTAGGATGAGGCTGTCTTGTGATCCCAGATCAGAGCCTCCAGGCACTGCAGTGCCATAATGAGGAGTCCAGTTTCTGCATTTACAGTTCATGAAGAACAAGTCCACCACCTACACATTAGATGCTGGCAACACTGAATACTTACTTTCATAAATATGGAAACTACCACCAACCCATTAGGACTCTTTGCAGCTTCTGTGACATTTGTGTACAACTCGTGGTTGTAGTGGATCAGTTGAACCTGGAAAGGAAAGATTGCAATTGAACAGTAGCAATTGTACCATGCGTTGTTTGCAAATGCTCTCTACACACCAATTGCTTTATATTAAAAGCCCATCTATGTTTAGGATATTTTTTTAGCAGTGCAATTTTTCAGAGATCTGTGGTGTGCACAATTTTAATAATTTCACTTACCATCTGGCTTCAGCTGGTATAGCACCAACATGCTTTCTTCTAAATTGCCAGTAAGTGAATTTACCCTCATCAAGTTATGAATTGCACTGCAGGGGGTGACATCATTTCCCCAGTGGAGCAGCACTTGCCCCGGGCAGCAAGTAATCTGTGCTTCTCAGCCTCGAGCCAAGCACAGGGGAGTCAGGGGCTGAAATTTTTGTAGAAACATATGGGATGCAGGATTGGAAGTGTTTAAAGCAGGACTTGCAGAATTCAAAATACTGATATCTATTGGCATTGGTTTTAACAAACTCAGTTGCAAAAGCTCCTACAGCAAAGTGCTTACTGTGTTACTGCTAACCAGGATCTACTCAGTGCCTCAGCTTCCACTCATCATTAAAATGTACATTTTAGGTTACAAAGATAGAGTTCATCTCTCTCTCTCTCTGTGTAAATGAATATTTGTTACCCAGAATGATGATATTTATATTTTTCTGGGACCACTGGGTAATTTTACAGTTAATATTTATGCAATTATTAACATTTTTTTTTTAAAGATAAACAATTTTAACAAACCCATGTGAAGAAGTTAAGTACTTCCAGCGATTTGAAAAGCTATTTATTTAGCTTTACTTTGCTTTAAGATATATTTAGTTTTCAGATGTCAATTAGAAAGATAAGGTCATTGCTCTGGCAATCACAGCAGCTCGATACTTGTATTTTAAAAATCAAGTTCATTTTCCAGCTACTGGTCTAAATCTGAAGTTAGTGCAATTAAATCTGTATAGCATTAATTCGGTCTCTGTCTTGTCACTTGAACTAAATAAATGGCCCAAGACTAATGCTGCCAGCAAAGGAATTTTATCACATCCCTTCCCATGCTTGTACCAAGGAAGAAATCTCTATCTCAAAAAACAAACAAACAAACAAACAAACAAAAAAAAAACCAACAAAAAACAAAAAACCAAACTCCAAACAACTGAAATGTGAGCTAATGATTGCATTGGTGCTTTTGTCTTCTGGATATGATGCCTGGTGCCGTTGTACTGTAAAGCAGAACAACTGCAAGGATTTCTTTACAAAAATGACCTCTCTGTGTAATTTACAGTGCATGTTCAACTAAAAGGACAAAGTGTTGCTTTGCTATCCAGATAAACGTTCACCCCCATGTATGCTAGTAGCGATCTGAATTACAACAGTATCCTGAGTTCTTTGTAACCTACACCATTATTACCTCAGTCTGTGAGAAGCTGAGAGACAACAGATGCCTGCAAACTTGGGGTTCAGTGAGTATTTCCTGCGCTGCGCCCAACTGCACAACGCGTTCTTTGTACGTTATACGTGAATCAGTCGGCTCCTGTGGGCTTTCTAGTGTGAAAATCCCTCAGGCCTCTTTCTGTCCCTGCCCCAGCCCTGAGCAATGTGGTTTTAGTGCTTGGATGTGGATGCAAAAAGGGTAGTGGGAATTCTGAAAGGAAAGAGAATACTTGCCTGAGTAAGATTAGATCTTTGGCACGTAGCTTTACAATTCACAGCTAATGGTTCACAGACAAAAAATAGCCAGAATTAGTTACTATGTGTTGATTTCAGTTATTTTGTCCTCTCTGGATAGGGAACTGTTGGTTGACCTTTTTACAGTCCACGTGGTTGGCATGTTTTAAGGCAAGTAAACAAACCAGAAGAGAAGTAAAAATGTCAAAGTAGCCAATGAAGACATCCACTGAGTTCTGACAGCTGGGAAGCAGAATGAATGCAGTGAGCTTCCTAAAGGTCCTGCAAGGAATCAGAGCGTTTACAGTACAGCACACAGACGTGCAGGCTCATCAGTCATTGCTTTGTGCTACTTGTGAACTTTCACAACACTGTGGCTCTGGGGACTATCCTCACTGAAATGATGAAGCTTAGAACATATCCTTCTTTTTATGTACAGCTAGTAATTCTGGTAACCAGATTAACTTGTGAATTATCAAAGAAGTAAGAACTGAGATATGTTTTACACTAGAATTCCTTCTGTAATGAGTCCCAGATTAGAAACAGATTAGATGAACCAAGTTTATCTCGCAGACCAAAACACTAGTGAAGGAACAGCTAAAAGGAGGGGCCAAATTCTCCTTCCACCCTTGGAAGCATGTGTCAGTGTGAAGCTCTTATTTTTACGGATGGCACTTATGGGAACAAAAGTCTTCAAGTATGTACAAGTGTGTAGAGAATATTTGTCTCAGACCCGCAGGAAGGAGCCCGATGTGCAGAGCAGTGCTGCCTGCTGCGATGCGTTACGCTGCAATGAGCCTGTGACTGTCCTGGCTCTGGTGGACCTCTTTGGTAGCAGCGAGACACAGTTCTGTCTGTGCAAAACAGGCATGCAGACTGCAGGCAGATGTACGTGTCTGAGGGGCTGCGTTAACACGCTGAACTGCTTAGAAGTTAGAATAGTTATTTCCTGTGCTGATCTCTAAATGATCTCTCCACACTGTATTGCACTCTCTGTACAAGGAAAGAACCTGTCTGAAAGTGGTCTTTACTGGTGATTTTCAGGTGGTTTTCATTTCAAGTTTCCTGTTCTTGCAGGTCGGTACTCGTCTGCCCCGCGCCATCTCCCCTCATCACACTCAGACTGGTTGTGAATGGAGTGTTTTTGAGAGATCTTGTTTCCCTGTATTTTGAGAAGACCCTCTCACCTCACTAAGCTTTATTGTTTCTCAATGCACTCAGTGCTGAATGAAGACAGATTTTCTTTTTTCTTCTGAAAGCTGTCACTTGCTTTATGTTAGAGTTGTATCTTTCTTCCCTGCAGCCAAATCAATTTTAAAGCTGTTTCCATGGCATCATGGTTAAATTCAATGGTTTTCTCTTTTTTTTAGATTTTTTTTTTTCTTTTTAAAAACAAGAGACAAAATTTTCATGTTTCTCACGTGGAACAGACTAATTTAGAAAGGTACAAATGAATGAAGATATCTAAGATATAGAATACTACAAGCAGGATTAAGGATATAATTCCCTATAAAAGTTCTTTTCAGAATAACTTCCTCAAAGCTGCCTGAAATACCTGTAATCCTACAGTCTGCATTAAGTATTACAAGTTTTTTTTTTCCACGGAGATGAAACCACACAACTAAAACTGCTCATATCTGAAAATCTTACTTTTTCAAATGATGGCATTGTATTAAAAACAAAGTGTAGCAAGAGCAAACTTGCATTGCTAAAGTCCCCTTTGGTTCTGGTTTAAGTTTCAAGGCTCCAATGCAATAAAGAATCTTGTTATAAGATATTGATTTCTTTTCTTTCTTTCTTTCTTTTTTTTTTTTTTTTTTTTTTTTTTGAAGATTCCCCCTTAAGATTAATTTGCCTCTGAACAACTTACAGCTCTTTGCTTTCCTCAAGCAATAGAAGTTCTGTTTTTCAGGAGGATGGAGAGAATTAAGATTAATTACTCTCATTTTAGCTGCTGAAAATCCAGAATGTGCCCTTGTTCCATCGCCCAAAAATGTGCAGTGGACCAGGAGCAGACACAGCACTTTTCAGACACCTGATGGCGGTGCTGGGAATGCCAGCAGGAGCTGCTGCAGTGCCTTGGGGTTCACGCAGTGAGCACACAGCCCGCGGGCTGCAGGCGGCGCCCTCAGGGAAAGCAGGCAGGCAGGCAGGAGCTGTGGCTTGGCGCTGGCTACTGCGGGGAAAACATTGGACTCTTTCCCAGCACGCAGTACATGGGTTGGTTATGGGATCACCTGTGCTTTCCTGAAGATCAGCCCGGTGCTCAAAGTACTTGTGCTGTTAGTGTGGGAAGTGCTGGTTTTCACCTGCAGTGCGTTTTGGTGGTTTATGATCCTTTGCACAGGTGGAATGCGCATCTTTGGGCAGAGCTGGTAGCAGGATATTTTCCGCACGGCCTTTGCTCGAGGCCCTTTGGCTGAGCAGGAGGAGGCAGTTTGCCGTGTTGGTGATGATTCCAGAGGTTCTTTTTGGCAATCTTGTAGCAATTACTCTGACTTGGAAAAATCCTCCGATCTAGTGTGCATGCTTCACACTTTTATAAATATCAGCTCGCTGCAAAATGTTCTGCTGCAGTGAGGTATGGAGAAGTACGAATCTAAGAGAATTTAAAATATCACAGCACTTCACACACTTTTTATTTTTTTTTCCCTGAAGTCCTGTTGAGAGTAATGGAAATGCTCTTTATCCTCACCTGGAAGTGTTATAATTGAGTGCATAAACATCCTGATTTGTAAGTGACAAGAGATCTAAACCAGGAAGTGAACAGCAGTAGGGAATGGCTGATCTGTAACTCTAATATTTGCATTATGCTGGGCTACCTGATAGACTGTTGAGATACTTGATTGAGAATGAGCACAAAGCACATTTCCAGCACAGCAGGGAATGAAAGCAAATGGAAGTACTTGGGGAATGACTTCAGTGTTTGTTTTGATTCAGAGACCTTGCTGAGTGTGGCCAAGATTTCGTTAAGGAAAAAAATACAGTTCCATTTTTATAGAGTTAAATAAAAAGCGCGAAAGTAATTCAATTTCTGTTTGTCAGGAATCCAGCGAGTAAAATAATTTGGGGGAGTTAAAACCCATTAATAACATTTGATAGCCCTACGTTAGAATGTATTTGCCCTTACAGGTCTTGTAAAACCATTTTGGAAAAGCAGTAACAACATATCACCTTAGAGTTATTTGTGACATTAATTTTATCAGTGCAGAATGGTCTGAAGTCTGAGGTCCTCCTGTTGTGAATGAGTCAGATGATCACAGGATGGTTGCGGTCGGAAGGGACCTGAACGATCATCTGGTCCAATGCCCATGCCAGATTTTTTCTATGTCTATGTTCACGTGTTCACAGCAACAG